GTGTATGTAGTACGTAGTGTGTGCGTATGTGGGCGGCTTGTATAAATGTTAGCCCTTATTGTTTGCCCGACCGGCCATGCAGGCTGCACATATCACGAGGCGGCCAGACAATCCACCTCCTCCCTGCTCATTTTCATATATTTTCCATACCGAGCTCATTCAAGCCAGTCTGCTGCTCATCTTCATTGTAGATGACAGCTCCCATTGTCCTCTGCCGACTCCTGCAGCGACAGCAGCTGCACTTTTAGCCGCCCGAGACAGAGCGCTCGGATCAGGCAGTACAGTACCCATATACCATATACCCCGTTCCCGTTCCCGTTCCCGTTCCCGTTCCCGATCCCCCACATTTCCCCATTAACTTGTTCTTTTTGTTCTTTAAGCCCTTCCTTTGTCCGTGGCATGACTCATAAATTTCCAAATATTCATAGACATATCTTTTAATCTATGCTCAAAAGAACCGAAAATTTAAAAAGAATAATTAAGAAGATTGCGAAAAATAACAGGACACTTATCAAGGTAAGTAAATGGCGCGTTAGTAGACTTTAAACCTTGATCTACTTATAAAAAATTAAAAATATTCCATCTAAATTAGTAATCATAATAAATGCAATTTTATAAAGAATTTTGATTATAATCTTTTTTATTATTAGTTTGTGGAAGCCTTAATATTAATTGATTTTTCAGAACTGATATAAAAACTTATTTTCAATCTGGATCCCCTCAGAAATAAATTTTCTCGTTGTGTTTATGTTTGTTGCTTTGTTGTAGTTGGTTTTGTTGGGACAGCGCCATGCATAATATAGATTTTACTCAAAACGCATCGACTAAAGGGAAAATTCTATGCATTTTATATCGTTGAATGTAAGTAAGTACATGCAGCATACATATTATATGTATGCAGATGGGAGTTTCATTTTGCCGTACACACGCGAAACACACTGGCAGGAAGTCTGGGGGCATTACGTATGCTCTATGAGGACCTATCGCCACTCACCTGGGTTCCTCAATTGGTGCGTGGCAAAGAATTCATCATGTAAATAGGGTTAGCGTGTGAAGTCACTGAGCGACTAGGACTAGGACTTCCCTGATGCATAATGCATTCGATGTCTGCTTGGCAAATGACAAATTGCCAATTCAGGGCGAGGCTTCAATCTCTGAAAAAATAAAGTTTTGGTAGAAGGATCTCTGCAAAAAACAATGGTGGATTAATAGCAAGCAATACAATCTGCTACTCAAGGGCAGTTTAAAAAATATTCTTAGATTGTTGCCAAAATAAAATACAATACAATACAATATTGAGCTTCTAAAATGGTATTTTGACGAAAAAATGTTTTTGCTGTTTCAAAACTCAATAGAAAATATTTCATCCTTTATACATGCCTCTAAATAATCAGAGGGTGTGATTTTAAGGATTTATTTTAATTATGTTCTATTGAACATCTGATTCGAGTAAGTAAAACGTAGATAAAAAAGTGCCATTGGATCTACTTGGAATGTTACCATATATTATTTATTTAAACAAATGAAACATGATCCCTTTAAGCATGTAGACTTATACCCCTCATCCAACCATCTAGGACATTGAAAATATTCCGAGCCGCATGCAGCTTTTGGGAAGAGGTCGCCAGAGTTGCTGTTGCAATTTCTGTTTTGAAATTGGCTTATTTAGGTATTTTTTATGCGCTCGACATTCAACGTCGACCGTGCTGTTCCCTGCTTTTCTGTGCTCTGCTGCAGGGCCCTGAAGTCCCTGGCCTTTGTTTTGTAATTGTTTCGAAAGTGGGCGGCGACGAGGGGGCGGGGCGGGATACAGTAGGCGGCGAAAGTTAACGTCATTGTCGTTTCCGAACTCGACGACGTTGGGTCGTTGTCGTTGGGCCAAAAGAAGAAGGACGACATTAGCGGCAACTGTTTTGAGTGCTGCTTCCTGCCGGTCTGTTCTTTATCGTTCCTGCACCACAGCCCAACTACCACCCACCAACCCACTATAGGCCACCCTCCCCCACCATCTCCACCCACCACCCACCACCCATTGGCCGCTTTCAAGTGGCATTCGAGTGGCAGCCATTGTGCAGCATTATGATGAAAGTTTGTGTCGCAAAATGCAAATATTTGAAAGGTAATTGAATTTGAACTTTGCCGCTCATCGTCCTCGCCCCCCACTTACTACAGCTACTCGGGCTGCCTTCTCAGTATGTCAGGTGTACGGGGCAGAAACAGCAGCGAAACTGTTCAGAAATTTAGTACTTTAACATGTAAACATTTTATTTTTGTATATTTTTTTTTAACCATAATCAGAACTTTTATAAAATATGGAAGTGAATTAAATGTTTTCCAATTAAAGAAAAAATCTCTTAGGGTCTACCCTTAGGGACAATCTTAAAAATCGTATCAAATTTATTTAAGTTAAGTTAAGTTAAATATTTCCAAAAATTGTAATAATTCTTATCAATATGTATTTCACATTGTAGTGAGTTGTGAGAATTCATTTTCACAGTATATAGTTGTAGTTATCTCTATCTAAAGGGAATTAAAATTCCAAAATATTCAAAAGTTCTTTCACATTGACTCAATACTATTCCATGTTTATAACATTTTGAACTAAGATACCAAAATATACCAGAGCTCTTTCACATTTTTATAAATAGCATACTTGTTTGTATATTTTGACTATCCTTCATTGTACATGAATAAGGAAGTTTCTCTGCTCTATTCTTGCGCAGGTCAGTGTAGTATCGTGTGCTTTAAGTGTCCGAAATCGCGCATGCAATGGCATTAAAGCTTCGACGGCAAATATTTGACAAACAGCTTACATGTTTTATTTGCCCAAGCTGAATGGTCAACACAGCACGAAGCCTGAAGGCACTCTCTCTGTCGCACTTATTTGTTTGTCGTACAAATTATATACAAAATTTGCACACTCATGAGGGCATTCAATTTCCATGTTTTCGAGAGCAAATGAAAATCTATACAAGGCTGGAAAATACTTCTGCCCCCCTTCCATGTGCTCACTTTTGGGGCATGCCGCAGGTGCAGTGAACAATAAATTTTGTTGAAAATAAACAATTATTTAGACATGATTGGCTTGTTGCCTGCCATTTTTTGAGTTGTCAGTTCAGCATCTATCTGAATTCGGCTTTTGTTTTTACCTAATTGCCTTGATTGGACCAACAAGTTTGGGTGTATTTTTAAAATAGCATGACATGTTGGAAAATTGTTATAGTTCATTAATTGTGTTGATTTTGAGGCCCCTTTTTAAAGTTTAGTCGGGTAATTTAATATTGGATTTCAATTTCACTATTTTTCCTTACTCATCCGCAGTCATAAAGCGTTGTTATTAAAGGCAACCCCAAACTTAATTAGCAAAACCAGAAGTTCTCCTTCCTTTTCACACACTTTCTCTGTTGTGGTAACCGCCTCCCGAGCTCATTCTGGGGGCGTGGCACTGTCTAGCTCCTTGGACCGCGTCAAAGACAGTAAATTGGAGTGCAAAAGTGGTAGCTTTCTTCTGCTCTTGGCTCCGAGACATCTTTTGTTTGTGTTAATTTCCTGCGGAGGAAGAAAAATGGAAAAAGAAATGAATTGAAATATAATTAAATTTTCACGCAACGGCAGACGCTTAACATAAATTGAATGCACATCTTGAGTGGTTCGCAAACCCTGGCCACTGTTGAAATATGTAACACCCTTTTAAAAAATGGAAAGCAAAAACGATATATAAATATTTGTCATAGTCGAATGGTAAAACTAAATAACAAACAAAATTCTTTTATTTTAGACAAAAAATAACATTATCGAAAGGCTGGTTATTACTTTCTATTTATTTTAAGGAAAATACTTTGGTAAAAGTACTTAAAATCGAATTTAAATTAGTTTGAAAACCAATTGAATTTCTCCGCAGTACCTTTGGCATCGCGAACTGCCCGTTGGACAATGACTTTTGATTGAATGTTGCAAACGCGCTTGTGTCCAAGTATCCGAGCCAACCGGATTGATGGCTGAAAGATGGAAAGATGGGATTTTCGCTGCTTCCTGGGCTCGCCAATCAAAGTCAAAAATGCCTCACAATTGGCAAGTAATCGAGAGGTCGGGAGAGTGTGTGCCCCAGAAAACGTTGGCATCGTTTTCAGTTTTTCGTCGGTGCGTACAAATTTCTAATTTCATTAAAATTTGTTCAAAGGGCTGATGGCTGTTGGAGCCCCAGACGTTGACAGACACAAATCGACACAATAGACGTCAAACGCAGGCGGATGGGTGGGCGTAGCTGCGGACTGTGGGCGGGGCAGCTTTGGCAATCAAAGAGCGCCGATCAAAGTAGAAAATCGATTTTAATTGCAATCTAGGCGCAAAGCCTCGGCGCTCGATTAGCGGTCAAGTGGGCGAGTGTGTGACGGTGGGAAGTGGGAATTAACGGGGCGTGGCATGTCGGCCCTTGGTCCAGAGTATGCTTTACAATCCAACTTTTTTCTATTTCGATTTAAAGAATCCGATTTGCTATGCTACCGGTGATTTAAAGGCCGCCAGAAAAGGTTGAGATTAGAGAAAATAAACTCATCCAGTAAAAAATCAAAAAGTTATATAAGATAACAAAAAGAGTTGAAGGACTTGCAGTTGTTGAAACTCAAGATAAAGTCGTTAATATATCATATTTTAGGGATTAGCAAGAACTATGATGCAATGTATAATAACGATAATACATTCCCTTGCCTTTAAGATAGTTAAAAGAGTTGAAAGGACTTATAAAGTGTTAGGACTAAAGCAATACTTAAGTGGATTTGTCAAATTCATTGCATCAAGAATCATAACAGAGGTGTTTAAATATTTACTAGGGCTAAATAAGAACCAGAATATAATAAATATTTATTATAAAACAAACCAAATTATCACTAGAATTGCTATTAACCCTCTAAGAACTTGCCACCAAGGAAAGTAAAATACTTCTATACACCCATGAGATTTGTTTCAGTCCAAGTGTCAGTGGCTTGCCCCCAGTAGGACTGCCTTTCCCTCAGTCTTGCCAACAGCTCCAAAGGGAGCACATCTAAAACGTAAAATGCGGTGCGGTCAGTAGTATTCTTGCAAAATTCCAAGACAAAGTGTTCTCGCGGCCTTTTACTCTTTTTTGACTCAAAATTTTTTTAGTTCCTTATTGAAATAAACCAAAATTACGATGCTGGCAAAGAGTTTTACGCTGAATTCAATCTCGAACGTGCTGCAAAAGCGAGTTTCTAGCCTGTTGCTCTCGTCAACCTGTCGTCAGTTCAGCTCGGAGGGCAGTTTGCACTCGGAGGATGGCTATCCCAAGTTCTCAAAGCGCAAGGACCTAAAGCCCATGGAGAAAAAGGACAGGTCCAAGGTTTACGATGCCTGCTGGCAGTCGATGCGCCGCACGGAGTACAAATGCCGTTCGGACCCCGAGTTCAATGTGCACGCCTTCGTGGATGCCCGCAAACAGTGTTTGGCCGATCCCTGTGCCACCGAGATGCTGCCTATGGACATCACCCACTACAAGCCGCAGGACATGGCCAAAAGGAGGTATCCCCGCACCTGGTTCGAGTGCATAGTCAAGCGCCGCAAGCGAAAGGCCCACTGTGTGCCAATAGCGCCTCCAATGCCGCGGCGCAAGAGGAAATCACTCAAGGCCAAGTGTCCCGAGGATCTGTGTGTCCTGGGAAAACTGGAACTCCATCTTACGGAACCCTGCACCTTGATGAAGCCCACGAAGTGTCCGCGATTCAAGATGCCCAACTGCTGTGTGGCCGCCCGCAATCCGCCCATGTGCCGTCGACCCTTCCGAAGATGTGGCAGCCGTCGTAAGACCAAGTATCCCAGTTTCTCCGAGTGCAAGCGGGATCCCTTCTCAGAGGCCCGACCCATCGAGTGCAACTGCCTGCTAAAGCCGGCCATCTGCGAGATGTGGCGGCACTATCGCCGCCGGAATGGCTGATCAATGATCGCTTATTGGTTTTTTAAAATTCCCGGACGCCAGAGGACGGTGCAATTCCTCATCGGCTGTCTGATTTTACCAAATTAGGACCAACCAAAATTTTTGTTTTACCAAAGCCTACCGCATCTAAAAATTCACTAAAAAGCTCTAGCCAGCTTGTTTTTTTTGGAGAACTTTGGTAATTCTATTCAAAAAAGATGTTTCTTATACTCGTACTAAAGACATATAAAAACTGTAAGAAATTATTATAAAAAATTTACAAATTAAAAAGATTACGAGTACTGAGCGATCCTTCTTTCCTTCCATATACATATAAACATGTATTAAATATGTATTTTTAAAAATTATAATTTCGGTATTTTTTTGTATTTTGAAGGGTATGCTGCTATTTAAATATGTAGCCCTTGTACAAGAAAATGTGCCGTTGAACAAAATATTTTCTCGAGGTTTTAATATCTAAAAGCAGAGTAAATTGTATGTATTAAGCTATTGGACTGACAAATTCGTTAACTATCTGAATAATTAATAGTAAAGCAGATTATATATATTCTCGTTGAGCTGGACAACCAAGTAACACATTGCTAAGTCAAGATTATCATAAAATGTGTGATATCTGACTTGTAGGTGCAAGTTAGTATGAATATTTGAATGCCATTGGTAGCCGGCTGGCCAGACATGGTCACGAAAATGCAATATGCAACAGCCCGAACCGAACGCGAATCTGTATCTGCAGATTGTACGAAATGTTCACGATTCCCGGGAAATAACCAAATTCCATTATACAGATACAAATCAAATTGGCAAAAGGCATTGAAAGGGATCAAACGAGGGTTGGCTGGAGTGGTGAGGGGAATATGCAAAAATCAAATTACCAGAACTTGAGAAATCGCAGACATCAGAGAGCCATAAATCAGTAAATCGAAAGGCAGGGAATCGAATCGTACATACGTATATAAGAAATTGTTACCGCTAGTTAACGGTTTATTGATGCGTCGCTTTTGGCTGAATTTATTGGCCTGGTCGTTGGTCTTTCGCTTCCTCTTCCTCACGCAAATGCAAAATGGCCAAAACCGAACAGGAGGAAAATCGTGCGAAAGCTTTGAATTGATTTGGCTCTTAGCCGCCTTCTTTAGCCGGCCAAAAGGTTTGGTTGCCATCTACAAAATATAACTGGATGGCTAAATCTGGAAAAAAACGAAAATGCAAAATAAAATTTCAAAGGATGGTGGGAATATATTAATTTGGTGAATTTAAAAGCCAACGACATTGATAAAATTTCGGAAAGACTATTTAATTTTTATCTGGATAAAGTTAAAATCTAACAAGAAGGAAAGCTTGCTTCGGCAAGCCAAAGTTGTTGTACCCTACGAGGCACTCGAAATAGATAAGAAAATTTACTAAACATCTTCTATAGTAATTTACGGCATCGTGTCAAATTTCATTGTACTCTCCTTATTGCAAAAGCAATTTTTGACCGTCACCTAACTGATTCGATTTGCGGCCACCTAACATGAGTAATATATGTTACCAATTTAACTGTAAAAACTCTTCAAAACCGGGTAAGTTCGCTAGAATCTCTTTGAAAATCCAGGGTAGCATTTTGGAAACATCAGTGTAGACTGTAGGGAATGGCTCTCCACATTCGGCTCCGAAGTTCGCGATGCCGACTTGCTCGTAACGATTGGGATCGCCCCTGAGCGGACAGGCTAGTGGGGATCCCCCACCGACCTTGCACGAATCCTTGCCAGTCTCTCCGCCGGCGCAGGTGAGGCTGTCATGAAGATTGAAGGATGCCGAATAGTGCTGTCGAAGCTTCTGCTCGCACGTAAAACTGTCCACCAACGGCACCTCGATCTTCTTCATGAGACTCGCGTGACTGACATCGTTGATGTTCTTCTTACCCCAGCCACTGACGATGCAGCGATTCCAGATAATCGGACGAGGGAGCGGCGGCATGCAGATGAGATTTATATGTCGGGTTCGTTGAAGTGGTCTTTCGAGAAACAAAAGTGCCACGTTGTTGGCTCCTGAATCCTCCTGAAAGTCCGGGTGACGCACGATCTTTCTGATGGTCACATCCTCATGTTTCCTCATCTCGAAGTGGGAACTGAGATCCCATTCGCCAGCCCGCACAATGAGCTGGTTCTCGAGAAAATTTCTGGTCACAGTGGTGGCTGAGAGCACCACATCCGGTTTGATAAGGGAGCCACCGCCCACCGGTTGGCTGTTTCGAGCATCTAGCAGTACCACCATCCAAGGCAGCTCCGCCTCCTCGGCGGTGTCCTCCTCGAGGTTGCCGAAGGTCAGGATGTCACGGTTTGCGTAGCCACATGCGGGCTCTGATACCGGGTCCGGAAATCGTAGAGACTGGACTCTATAGAGCCCCAGAAGCAAACACAATACTGAAAGGCGAATCATTCTCCTCGCTATAATTTAATAAACTGATGTCTGCCTCTTAAACTGCAGCCGTACTTATGGAAAGCAAGCGAGATCGTTGTTCTTGGAGTAGATAAGGCTGTCTGATGACAGTGGGGAAGTCCCACTCTAATTTATTAAATTTAAAGATCAAGGTTTAGTTTGTTATCTGCCGGAGGAAGCTAACACTAAGTTAAATTATTTGTTTCCAAATTCCAATTATTCTACCGCACCTGGTTACGTAACCTAGTGATTACATTTTATACCTAAAAATAAATAGCGGAATCGCTTTATGGAACATTTCAATACATACGACATATATCTGTATAAGTTCTTTGTTTACCAATCGATTATAGTACTTCTTATCAGCAATAGTCTTTCGGTATTTCCAAAAAAATCACATAGCCAATATTAATTATACCCGTTACTCGAACAGTAAAATGATCAAGAATATATATGCTTTATGGGTTCGGAAACGTTTTCCTCTGCAAGGGTAAAAAATTTAAATACCCTTGATTAATAATGTTTTTAGCGCGAAAAACAACATTTATCGTTCTCGCTGGCCATAAAGAAATTTTTAAATGTTATTATACCTTGTAGCGGCCGTCTTAGAACACTACTATCTTACAATCACAAATCTTTAGGTACTGTCAGCTAAAATTTTTCTGGTTCCAGTTGTAAACTGGGAGTGCCCGCCTCTCCTGATACGATCTTTGACACAATAACTTGTTCCATGGATAAGGATGAGATGAAGGTGGATGGGAGTACGTTGCACCTGCCCAGTTACGCCGATCGGTATACGGATATCCCCCGTCTTATACGCTTGAAGTTCATTGCCCAGGTGTGTCCGCAACTAAGTGTTCCCGCCCTCGAATTGGCCATCAACCACGTGAAGACCACCTACAATGTGAAGTTGTACGACGAGCTCTACAAGACACTGTGCGCTGAGGTGAGCAGAAAGTCCCTGAAGCAGGTCGAGGAGAACGACACAAGTCATGCCCCAGATCCCAATGAGGCAAGTACCTCTAGTGGCAGGGGGAGAATCGTGGTGCCCTACGATTCCTACTGGGTGGAGGACAACACCATGGAGGCCACTTTGATGCTCCAGGAACTGGATGCGGAGCTAAATTTCAAGAAATCCAACTCGGGCAGCGCCTATGTGCGAAGGGTTCTGGAGGAGATCGGGGATCATTACGAGAAGAGCGGCAATCTCCAGATGGCAGTCAAATTTTACGCTCGAGCCAGGCCCTACTGTACCAGCAGCGACAATGTGATCAACATGTTCCGCAACCTAATCAGGGTCTCCATTTATATGCAGAATTGGTGGCACGTTTTGACCTACGTCGATGAGGCCAAGCAGTATGCCTTTGGGTTCGAGTATCTCGCCCAGGAGGTTCCGGCTCGTCTGAGCTGCGCCGCCGGTTTGGCCAACATGGGCCTCAAGATTTACAAACCTGCTGCCGAGAACTTTCTGAGCACCCCCTTTGGGCGATACGATTACGATAGAATCGTTGCTCCTGAAGATGTCACCTTCTATGCGGGACTGTGCGCCCTAGCCACTTTCGACAGGGAGAATTTGCAGCTCCGTGCCATCAACTCAGAATCGTTTAGTCCTTTTTTCCAACTATCACCAAAAATGTGGAACATCTTGGCCAAGTTCTGCGAGGGTCAGCTCGAAACTTGTGCTGGCCTATTGCGTGAAATCGAAGATTATGTCAGGCTGGATGTCTATCTCTCTCCACATGTGAACACCCTTTACGAGATGATCATGGGCAGACTGCTTAAGAAAAGAGACAGAAAAACGATGACTGATGTTGTAAAAAAAAAACATAGTTCATCGTAAAAGCTATTGTTTATAAAATAATAATTATAAAGCTTGATCCCATTTGGCTATTGTAGGTTCATATATTTATCTAGAATAATAAACTTATGTAAAGTCGTGAAGGCCATTGCTAAGAAATAATATTTATAAAGCTTGAACCGACTACTTTCAGTTGAACTCTTGCCAATCTATACATTATTGAGTTGACTGTTAAGCTCAAATCCACCAAAGTAGGATTACAAATTGTTTGAATATTATTTCATTATTTCCTAAAGGTAACTTCAAGTAAGGCCTAGAAAACAATGTTATACAAATAGTTCACAATTGGACTTATTGTCATATTTTTGCTAAATCTTTAAAAAGTTTTTATGTAAAAGCGCCTTCAGTTTCTCTAACAATATAGGCACATCAACAACAACAACAAATATAATTAAATTTTTTATGTATTCAGTAAAACGAACGGGCAAACTTCAAATCTTGCTAAAAAGAAAGAATTTGGCAAAGGACGAAAGATGACGAAACCCAGCGGATAGTGAAAGGCACTGAAATATTGCACAGTTGAAGTGATTTTTATGAACTCTTCAAAAGTAGCTCAGTGAAAGGCGCATAGACAGTGGAAGAAGTTGGGCCGTTTGTGCAACATAAAGGTTCCCGGCACGCTAACGAGCTTAAAGATGTAGCACAAAGTGCGCACTGAAATTGCATCCATAATGGCGCCCAAGGGGGTGGTAAGATATAATGCTCCTTGGACCATCACCCCCCGAAGCGCATCTTAGCATCCTCCCACTTACGAATAAAGGTGATTTCCATTGAAAAGCTGCGCCCAAGTCTGGAAAATTCAGTTAAGTGGCCAAAGGTCAAGAGCGGATCAGTTTTGAGGGCTCCGAAGAGATAGCCCATCTCGCTGTTTGAGGTAAGGCTTTTTTTAGGTATTGCAAGAAATATTAATTTAATTGGATTTTCTTATAAATTTCGTACATTTGAAATGACCAAAATTTTCAATTTATTGGAAAACAAGAAAAATTATTTCTATTGTCTCGCAGTTTTTCATAACTGTTTCCCTAATGTACACTTGTTTAAGGTAGAAATTATGTTAAATTTTTGATTAGCACTCACAAAAGTGAAAATGTTGGATTAAAAAGCAAACAAGAGCTTGTGAAATACCAATTTTCGGGGCAGCAGAGACACCTGAACTGGGAATATGAAAACTATTGGAGGAAAACGATGCAGACAGGGTCGGGGCTGATCTTCCTCCTTTTCGCAGCAGTAAAAAACTTCAGCCAGACATTGTGTTGAGTAATTCTTTTGTAATGCGGAAGGAAGCTCAAAACAACACAGTGCACAGCGATTTCCTGGAGAGGGAACGGGGAGTTTCGGAAAAAACTTTAAGACAAAGAACTGACCTACGTGGGCGGGGAAAATTGGGTGGTAAAGGGGTTCGCAGATAAATTGCTGCAGTGTTTAGTTAATACTTCTGGCCGTCCTGCGCCTTGGCCTTTCGTCCTCGGCTCCTGCCGCCTCCAATTCAGCAGGACTCCGACGGAACTGCGAGGCAGCCTCGCAGCTCAGATACAAGCAACAAGGAACAGCAGCTGGCTGGACAAGTTTATCTTTTGTTACATTGACTTCCGCTAAAAGATACTAAACTAGAAAACATTCTTCTCCGCCTTCCATTCACTGCCTTTCAGTTTTATTTGCCAGCGTTTCTTACAGGTTAGCGTCAAAATCCTGCAGCAGGAACAGGGGCAGCCAGGAAAAGTTAAGCAGAAATTAAAACGCAGCTGGGCCATCCACAGTGGTCAAAAAATGTATATTACGGTGTTACGATATATGGCTAATAACGATTTTCGACTTTTTATAGGATAGGATAATGATTATTCTTTACTAGCATAAAATATGTTATTTTTTTAAACTTTCGATATATTGTTGTTGAAATTTGTCTTTTTTGTAAAAGAATTTATTTAACGTAAATATATAATTTAAAAATACTACTTCTTAAAGTGTCTAAGAGTAAGCTACAGCACATATAAAACTCCTTTACATACTGAATACTTTTAGACACCTATAAATAAGTTAAAAAGTGATTTAGCCCGCCCATCATTCTATAAAGTTTCTAGGCATTTCAGTTAAGACTCAAATGATCAAATGATCTCAACCTAGTTTAAAACTGTTCTAAGCCTTAAAAACCGAATTTATATATTTGATAAGTCGCAGGTGCCACTCAATCTCCTGCCAATGGGTATTTTAGATTTGACATTTTTATCCGATATTGGACTGCCGCTACAAATTGGAGTGTGGAAAATGGACTCGCCGGACGGTGGAACGCGTGGGCACATCCTGGCCATGGTGGTGCGGGTGTGCGCGGTGACCGCGATTACCTACTACAGTGCCAAGTGGATGCTGAGTGCCCTGGATCCCAATAGCAAGATGCGCAAGAAGGCCAAGCAGGTGGCGGAGCAGCAGTTGCGGAAGCTGAACTCCTCGGCGGCCCAGAAGTTCCGCACCCGGGACTTCAACGAGCACGAGGTGGTGATCGCCTCGCATCTGGTGACCCCGGAGGACATCGATGTCAGTTGGGCGGACATAGCTGGATTGGATGGGGTTATCCAGGAACTCAGGGAGACAGTGGTGCTCCCAGTTCGCCATCGTGAACTCTTCCGACGATCTCAACTCTGGCGGGCTCCCAAGGGAGTCCTTCTCCATGGACCTCCAGGATGTGGCAAGACCCTCATAGCCAAGGCCATTGCCAAGGATGCCGGGATGCGGTTCATTAACCTGGATGTGGCCGTGCTCACAGACAAGTGGTATGGCGAAAGCCAGAAGCTGGCCACTGCCGTCTTCACCCTGGCCCAGAAGATCCAACCCTGCATCATTTTCATTGACGAAATCGAATCCTTTTTGAGGATGCGCGGCAGTGGCGATCACGAGGCCACCGCCATGATGAAGACCCAGTTCATGCTGCAGTGGGATGGCCTGATGAGCAGTGCCAATGTTTGTGTCCTCGTCCTCGGAGCCACCAATAGGCCACAGGATCTGGACAAGGCCATCCTCCGCCGAATGCCAGCTCAATTTCACATCGGAGTGCCGCATGACAGTCAGCGACAGGCCATCCTTCAGCTGATCCTGCAGAGCGAGCAGTTGAATCCCTCGGTTAACCTCAAGGAACTGGCCCGCTTGACCCCGGGATTTTCGGGATCCGATCTGCGGGAGTTGTGTCGCCACGCCTCCATGTACCGCATGCGTCTTTTTATGCGCGAAAATCTAAATATGGGCGAGGGAGCCAGCGAGGGGGAGTTCCAGTGGGATTTCGCGTCCAAGGATCAGAGCCTACAGGACTCCCAGCAACTGGAGATCCACATGGATGACCTGCTCAAGTCGCTGACCGTCATGAAGGTGTCCAAGTTTCAAGCGCACAACGCCTTCGTCGAAAAGGATCTGGAGTTGGACTGAGGTCCTTGATGGAAATTTTAAATCGTTGATGAAAGGGGGCCATAATATCGTTCTGAGTACCGAAAATAATAGCTGTTCATGCTTTATCAACCAAACAGGAAACAAATTAGCAGTTTTATCTTGTTTTTACTAAGATAATTTCGTAATCAGATGATTAAAGTGTTTTGTGGTATATTCGAAAATAAATTAAAGGTTTAAAAATCTACCGTCTTTAGTAAAATTATAAATATAAACCATTTTTAAATCTAACAAACATTTTTAATAGGTGTAACATAAGCATTCAAAATAATGTTCCTATAATATTTATCTCATCCAATTTCTCGCCACCAGTTAATTTTCTTCGGTATTATCCTGGCTAGTTCTTTACGGTAGTACCCATCCTATCCAGTTAGTAACGCCCCACACTGTCGGCCTGACCAATATTTTTCACATTTCATGGTTTTCAAGAGTTTTTTCAGCCATGAAGAACAGCGAGAAATCTGCAAAAAAAAGACTGCAACCAGAAGAGTCTATGAAAGAACAGCAGCAGCAGCAGCACAGTGGCAACAAAAACTCAAAATAACAACGGCTACGACAGCAACAACTAAAAATCTTTTATGTAAAATTGAATATTCATAAGTTGTTTCACAGAAGCGGCAGAAGCCTAACTACGGGCCTCAGCCTCCGCCTCGTTTGCTTCTGGTATACCCTAGCGAATGGTCTTTTATTTTTTGTATAAATCTGAAATTCAGCATGGAACTTAATTAAAAAATGGAGTATATGAAAAATGGTCTCTGATAATGAAGTAGAAATGTTCATTGTTGCATACCTACTCGTTTTTTTCATCTACCATTTCTTTTTGTAAGCAAGAATGAAGAGTTGAAATCAAAAGTTGTTGAATGAATACTATAGGATCACTTAACTTATTTTCTTATAGAAAAAATATAAAATATTATATTAATATTATTAATATATTACAAATGTCTTGGTTTTTTATTATCTTTTAATGTACTACCTTATTATTCTAGGGTACTGTAAGATTCGGTCTTTGAAGCAAAGATTTCGTTACAATTGGTTGCTATTGTTGTTGCATTGGACGGGCAGTTGATTGTTTTTGTGTGTAGTTTTGTTTGGCTGAGTGAACCTGCAGACGCTTCCGTGCCACGCCCCCGCCTCATCACCCGCCCCCACACACTTACCCATACACACAGACGCACACTCACACATGCACAGGGATGCAGCACACATGCACTGGCGAAAGCTGCCGTTGTTTGCTATTTTGTCATGCAAATTGTATTTATTGCGGCCAAAAACCAACAACAACGGGAGCTGGGCGCTCAGAGATAGGGGGCGGAGACAACCCCGCCACGCCCCCTTGTAATTGTTTGCTATTTGTCACTGTGTGCGTGTATGGGTGGCAGTGGGAGGGGAAACGGGAGGGGGCCACGTGTGTGTGTGCTCCATTGTAAACAAGAAAATTGACTGCCGTCGGCGGCCTGTAAACTTGGGAGCACATTTCCCGAATTCCCCGAATCACTATGCATTTCCCGAAATTCAAAGGTGCTAAGCCCGTTAGCAGTATGATCGTTTTTCTGAAAGAAAAACTTAAAAGAATCTACTTATAATCAAATAATATCTTAATGGTTGAGCTGGCATTAAAAATTCTGATTGATCATCACGGGTTCAACGCTTTTTTATTGCTTGATAAGCTTTAATATACTTCATATTTTATATTAAACAGAGAGCTGCGACCGATCGAACGACAGTACCCAAATGGAAGCAAAAGCATTCGCAATGCTAGCCTTAATCAGTCTCCTATTGTTTATTTTTCCCTTTCCCGTACTAAACCAATTTCTCGATGGCGAGTGTGGAACTCATCCCAATGGCTATATAGCGAATAGTTCATCGAGTCCCTGGATTGCTTTTCTGCACACCACTGATTACATATTCGTATGCGGAGGAACCCTGATCTCTCACAGTTCGTATTTACTTATTTACTCTTATAATACCAAATTTTGTTCGTATTTTAGTAACTAATCAATGTTTTATTATATTTTTGTAGAACTAATACTGACTGCAGCGCATTGCGTAATGGCCAACGCGAAACTGTAAATAAACTTAAAAAAATGGAGGAAAAATTGCGTGAAAATATTTCATTCGCTTTGTAGGGTAGCTCGTCTTGGCGAGTTTGGGGGAACCCTTGAAGAAAACAACCCATCAGTGGAGCACGAGGTTAGGGAGTACTGGAAACACCCCTTCTACGATATAGACGCAAATGCCAACGATGTAGCAGTGCTCGAGCTGACCACAAGTGTAGTGTACACAGGTGAGTTTGGTTTTACTTCGTTATATTCACACGATATGCTTAACACTGTATTATATTCTGATTAGACAACATTAGGCCCATTTGCATAGTGTGGGATCGCTCTTGGAAAGCCTACATTGATAATATTCCGATACTAAAGGGTCCCGTAAGGAGCAAGCCCGAAAATGAGAATGACAGTGGACACAGGATAATGGAAGTCCGGAGGCAGTCTCCGGAAATGTGCCTCAACCATATCGGTAGCTCAATATATACATTATCGAGCAATCAGTTCTGCGCGGGAAACTCGGAAAGTAATCTTTGCAATGTCGATTGCAGCAGTCCTCTGGGAGCATGGGTTCTTTACCAATATTCGCTAAGATTTGTCCAAGTTGGTATTGCCACCACGAATCAAAGGTGCAATATGCCAAGTATTTATACTGATGTCCTAAGCCACATAGATTTTATTCTCCGGGTATGGCGGTATTACGGCCAAGATCAAAGTCCATCGATCCCAAGCTTTACGACAACGACAAGAGCAGCGCAAATGACTTTCGATTGGGGTTCCAGAAGTGAAAATTTGGATCAATTAAGATATTGAGATGAATCTCTAGATGTTTACCTAACTATAGTGAGATTGTCATATTTACTTTAGCAGCTTAAATAATATGATTAGTTTTGTGGCTTAAAACAAAATATTCTCCTAGAATAAACTGATTAGTAGGCTAATATGATAGTCGCTGAAATTTACGATTATATTGCGGCCGTTTTCCTAGACGGTTTTATGTAAATCGCTGTAATAAAATCCCAGCCAGCTGTGGCCCTTTTACAACTGTCTGCTGAAAGGCATAATTGAGCCAAGAGAAACTTTACGAGAAAGGATTTCGCAGCCAACAATCCACTTACTTATATGCTGTTTCAGAGTCATATAAAACTTCAAGCTCTCAGTCGATAAATTTTAATGAGACTCTATGTTAAGTGATTCCAAAGGCAGGAAATTAGAGAGCATTTCACTAGTTAAAATGGGCCAAGTTTCGATGCACCGCAGAATTTATGTGGCAATTGAATTTAGTTTCAGGTATGTTAAAATATTCCCCCATTTTTTTGGCTTATCATTTTATTTAAATATTAGTCTCATAAGTCCTTCAGTTGGCTATTTCAATTAAAATGTGCACTTCCGCAAGCCACTTGACAATTAACACACTCTTTAAATGACAATTTCTTTGCCCGACCGTTGATAAACTGCATAATTTGATGACAATTATTTGAAATACTTTTAAGTGAGTGGGCAAAAGTTTATTGAATTAATAATTAACTGCAATTGCGTAATACAAAATTTATTTTATTGCTGTCATCAAGTGGCTGGGCGGAGCCGGACCCCTGTGCATCATTAAATTATTTTGGTTGCATTCATAATTTAATTGATTTAAATGGAAATAGCGATTTCTCTGTCAATTATCGCACCCCCTTTCTAGCACACTGGCCCCACAAAATGTGCTGGCTTAGAATAATTGATGACATTTGATATTAATTACACTTTACAATCCAACTTGAAACCCTTAATTGTAAATTGCACATCCTATTTTTTGTGGCCGCATTCCGGCAGTTCTCGAGGCTTTAACTAATTTCATTATTATGCATTAATCATGCACCGCATGTTAATAAATATTAATGTCCTTCGGCCGGCCAGCAAACTGCCAATTTTAGCCCATAAAATTTCCGGGAATTTTGCATAAAAGTGTACTGATTTATGGCGTTGCCCAACAAAAAAAGCAGACAAGTTCATTCAGCGAGTGGGTTGTAAAAAATCATGCACAAATAGCAATTAATTATCTAGTAATGAAACGAGATTGTTTCGCGTAGCGTTGAAACGGCCTATCCATACCCTCAACAAAATGTAAAGCTTTAACTATAACATAAAATATGAATTGCTTTAGTTTTAGGAACGAAATAAATCTTAGAAATTTGTTCAAACCTTTATAAGTCCGCAAATATTTAAAAATATGATTGGCCTTGCCAACGTTTTAATATAAATAATCTTCTGCAGCAAATCTTGTTTAATATACACTGTACCTTTTCGGCATTGCAGAAGAGTATCATTTTGGTGGTTCTTGTGGCCATTTGTTGCATTCGGTACAATACTCGTTGTATCAGTCATTAAACGCATCTGTGTGACTGGAAAAAATGGTGGTAAAAACTATAAAACTCCTTTGTAAGGACACAAAAAATGAGAGACGGAATGAAAGGAGAAAAGGGGTCCACAGGAGTGTAGGGACTTCAGTCTTTTGAGGGAAATGGCAAAAACTGTGCTTTTGCCCATGACCATTCCTATTTCCTTTGGCCATTTCTAAAATTTGCATTTTTCATGCCACAATGTATAAAATTCATATTTATAAATCTTTTAACTGCACACACCACACCAAACACAAAATGGGACACATCAAAAAGCCAAAGCACAGACAGAAGTAAAAATGTGAAAATAGGAAATGAAAATGAAAAAAAATAAATAAAAACCAAATGCCAGGCAGTAAGAACAGGCCGACTTTATAAGCCACTTTCTTTAAAAAAAATCACATAAAAATGTGATGTTATTTCTTGTATATAATCAATAAATTTTATTTTTCTCTTAATTTTCATGTTATAGTTACAGAGTGATTTCATACTTTATGCCACACATTTTATTAAACGATATGGTTATTAAATACTTGACTTTTCCTCAGGGTAATTATGGTTTTTAATATAAGACCCTGAGAAGTGTATCTGAGAAACCGAAATAAAAACAAGACAAACCCATTCACACTCGCCGCACAAAAAAGAGCAACACCAAAGGGGGAGATATAAAAATGTGTTGCAAGTCAGAAGTGAATGAATGAATGAATGTGAATGAATATGACTTTGCCACACCGAGCAGAACACAATAAAAATGTTAGGACCTCGCCGGCCAGTGGGTGGTGAACTCGGGCGGAACCCTCGGGCCAGGAAGCGGAAGGGAAAGAGAGCGCGGGAGACCGGAAGTGGAGCGCACGGAATGAGACACCGCTGCACGGCGCTGTGATTTTTCATTTGGAGCGATTTTCCTTGGGCTTCCTTGGGGCAACAGTTGTGGCCAGAAGTGGGAAACTGAACGCGTGCGGCATGCAACTGCAAAGTGACCATGCGACCACGTCTGCTGCATGTATTAAAAAAATTGCTTGGCCTTTCAGCCTCTCGCTGCTGCATGTATAAGGGATTCCCTTATTTTTGGCCTTTGAATAATAAACGAGTCCTGGCCTTTTTGGGCATTTCATTTTATATACTCTTGCAGGGGTTTTCTGTTTTATGGCTTTATTACATAAGTACTCAAAATGAAAAAACAGTATTTTAAACTTTTACAGACGCTTATACAAAATGTATGTATTACTTACATACTTTTAAAATTATTAAATTTTTAACTTAACTTTATAAGGAGGTAAGGAATGGGAATTTATTTCAAGCATTCGTCTTGAAGTATTCAGGTATGTTATGCACAAATTGTATTCATTTCAAATTCATAACATTTTTATTAGTAGCGAAGGAGCAGCTTGCACAAATTTCGTAGCACACTTTGCAGCGCACGCCACCTTGTATTTGCCTCCGATTCCGAAAGTAAGCATCTCTGGCGTTGCTATTTTAATTTAAGCCTGCCACGCGTTTGCAGAAATTAGCGTGATGCACTCCCCATTCCCATTTGCAACCTCCCGGCACTCAGATACATTTAACTTTCGGTCTACGTTCGAGGCGTTGACGCTGCATTTTTCCCTGCACGCTTAAGAACTTTGCTGCGCCAAAGTTCTTCAAATAAAATGCTGGAAAGGAAGTTTGGGGCGGAGGCTGGAAGTCAAGAAGGAGCCTCTCATCAACTTCGCCTGGCTGGCAGGAAATTTTTCAACACAGAAAACAAAATTACAAATAAAAAACATTTTAAAAACATCTTTTAATAAAAATAACACGATAAGTTAATTGATTTTGAAATCCAATATTGAATGTTAACCTTACAAATTAAAATTTTCTGAAATTAGAATTATAATAATAAAATTACTTTATTAAAGATATAAAAAAAAGTATTATTCGTTTTTCATTTTATTTTAAAAAAGTTGTTAGTTGTCCTTATTAAGGACCACTCAAATGCAATTTATTTTAAGCATTTAAGCAACTCAGCTTAAATGTTTTTATAATTGTGTTGTTCTTACGGAGAGATCTTTGACAGGGATCCAATTTGGAAGGACCTCGAGGACACTTGGGTCTATAAAATAAGGTTATAACTCCCGATTTCTCTCTGTGGAGGATGTAGGAAGCTGCTGATGACTATCTCTGCTCGTTGGTGCCGTCTACCTGTCGCTGGCATTCTAATTAGCGTTGACTCGACCCACCTGCTCCCATGTCCCCTCTCCCCATCCCCGTGAACTTTGACTTCTTGGGCCGATCATGGAGCGCTTCGTTAGTCGCGTGCGTGTGACATTGTGTACATGAAACAATTATGCAACATTTACGCGCAACTCATAAAAACGTTCGTAGGTGCTCATGTGCAGCTGCAATGCTTTCAGTACTTCAGCAAGAAAAATTGGACTGAATCGCGAAAGCAAATAAGTATCAACGGAAACTAATTTTAGTCAACATGAGTCTTCTACTAAAGGAAAGAGTACGATGGAGACTCCTATTGAAATTGTGCAATCCTAACTTGTGTAAGTGATATAATATGAAAAAAAAGAAATTCTAAATAAGAAATATTCATGAGTGAGTTAATCACTTTTAAAAACAATTTTCATAGCCATAAACCATTTTGTTATTTGTTTAAGGTGTTAAAAATGTTAAAAACTTTTAAGACTTGTAAGAAATAAAACGTATCTTATGACCGACCCTGATGTTAAACATTTTCCCCCAAAACAATCAAAGAAAAGTTCAAACAGAACGAAATTAACAATGAATTGCATAAAAGCGAATGCCAAATGCGCGAAATCTTTTCCCCAATCTCAAAACTCCGAATCTCCCGCCATCGCCAATAATTGCAAGCCCATCGTAAAAATTTACGCTGACTTCATTAAAAATAACACAAAAAAATCTCAAACAGAAAAAATGGCAAGCAAAATGAATGAGTCTGGGCCACAGAGTGTAGAGAAAGAATGGCATCGATTGAGTTCAATTGGGGGGCATCGGATGGCGAGGAGGCAATTGTAAACTGGCCAGACCATGAGCTAAGCCAATAATCAAGGGGCAGGATGTCTGGCAGGTGGGCGGGGTGCCTTGGGGGGCGGGGCCGGACTTTGCGGTCCGGGAGGCGGCAGCTAATTTATTACGAGCATTTAACAAGCATACTCCTGGGGTCTCTCACGAGTCCGCTTTGATTTATTAGGTGTTTGGTTTAAAAAAAGCGAGGCAACGAAATGAAAAGCACCAGAGGACGGGCAATGGAAGGCCGGACGAAGGAACAAGGAACCAGGAACAAGGAGCCAGGACCAAGGACCAAGGTCTAAGGACTAAGGAACCGGCCGGATGGGCAGGCTGCGAAATTCCGAAACACTAATGTGAATGTAATTTGTAGTTAATGTGCTGTCGGTTGGCATGTGGGCGGGCTCTTCGGCTATTCAGGCATTTTAATTGTTCAAACAAAAATCGGGATTTAGCGGAAGTTTCGGGGCATTTCTACTTTTCGCAGCGCTACGCCCATCCAAGTGGACGCTTTCCATTTTTGTGGAGCCAAATGCCCTAATTTTAGGGTTCCCGCGTCATTTTGCACTCCATTTCGTTTTCCTTTGTTTTATACAATTCCATGAACATTTTTTTAAACGGAAGCTTTTACATGTAACTCCATGCCAACTAAATAATTTTCGTATTTTCACTTGGCTTTTATTATAAGAATATAAAAAATCAACTATGCATAAATGCAATCGATATTTTTATTTTACAAACAAAGTTTTATTAGTATAGTGATACAAATTATTAACAAGAAATCATTTCCTCAAATCTATAAATTTAATCTTTCGAATGCGAACTCAAATTGGTAACAGTGTCAACAAGTATGACTTTTGGATTCCGAGAGTTAGGAGGCCTATTGGTGTTCCCAAACTGCCGCCACACCCGAAGGATAAAATCGATATGGCTCAGGATATCAGTGTAAGTACTGGGCCTATTGCATTTTTGGTTTGTTGTGGCTATGCCGATCAGAACAAAACGAGTGTGGTTTCTGTAAGATATCAATGCTCCCAGAGGATTGCTAGAGTCCACGTTGCACAGCTTTGATTCAGAATCTCCCGCGCAGAACTGACTGCTTGAAATTTTGGTTCCATTTTCGGTGGAGCACATTTCGGTGGGTTGGCGCCGAATGTCCAAAGTTTTAAATGTATCGCTTTCATTTTTTACCATTGGCAAACCCCATCTAGCACCGGTTAAGACCGGAATATGGTCGATATACCTTCTCCAAATGGTCCACCAAGTAATGCAGATGGGTCTGATGTTTTCTAGATAAAGAAAAAGTTGTATTATTGTGGTCAAGTTAATATAATTTACAAATAAGCATTTAATTAAAAATAGAAACAACATTATATAACTATTTGAGGCTTATAAATTTCTGATATTGGTGGCAATTAAATTTATTCTTTATTTGTAATAGATAAACAAATTCAATTCAACTCACCTGAATACACTACATCCGTTTCCAATCCAAGTATGGCTATGTCGTTGTCATTTGTTTTTATGTTGTAGAAAGGATGAACGAACGTTTGGTTTACTTGATGCTCCGAATGAATTGTGTCATTTTCATTGGCTGCTTCTATAAACTCTCCCAGGTGAGCTACTCTGCAAATAAAACCAAATCTTTAAAATTAAGTTATTCTATCTTCAGGTTACAAAAGTCACTTGCAGTTGTTCGTTGGCCTTTGTGCAATGCGCTGCAGTTAATATTAGTTCTGTAATATACAATTTTAAAATGATTAAGTTAGATTAAGACATTTTTCGCATTGTCGAACTTTGAGTGATAAGAGATCCCCCGCATACGAATATCAATTCGGTTGTGTGTAGATAAGCCATCCATGGGCTCGAGATATTATTAGCAATCTTTCCATTTCGAGGAATTCCACACTCCCCGTCGAGATATTGGGATAGTCCCGGGATGGGGAGAATAATCAGCAGTGCTGAGATTCCGATTACAGCTGACTTCATTGCGCTACTGCAGATCGATCGACTGAGGTTCCCCATTTAATAAGTTCGACATTGAGGCTTATCAAGCATTTAATTCCGAGAAGTCGAATGGATTAGCCAAAGCTAAACAAATAGAATTCTCGTGACATTGCCTATGATTTTTAAATTGATTTCTAGTTCATTGAATGCGGTTTCTGTAGTATTCCTCGTAATTGTTTTAAATTTGTGAAGGTTTTCAATGAGGCAATAAAAGAATTCTTATCTTAAAATAAGGAAGTAATTCAACCATCATAATTTGTAGACACCGTATAATAAAAATACAAATTTAATGGTCATTTGTACTTTGAAAATATTATGTTTATTTGATGGGATACTCCCTTGTCTCGACCGTGATTAACCTCCAGGGAAGCCATTCACCCCAATTTCCGCATTCTTTCGCTGTTCTTCCTCATTGTGATTTTGTTTCACCGTTTTCTTTTTTATTGTTTGCAACTGCCCAATGTTAAATGTTAAATCACATTGTTGAATTTCTGCTCCCTTTGTCGTTAAACAGCGATGGCGTTCGCATCGCAAGCTTTTCCATCGGCGGCCATTAAAGGTCATAAATCACAACATAGCATAGAAATAAATCAACCCTTTATTATCAACACATCGCAATGTTTGTTATCGAAAGGGTTATTTATAGTTCTCCTGGGAGCGGAGGGCAGAAAGAATCGGGGCGAGCCCTCCGGAATTTGTGAATATATATTCACCGGAATTAACTACGGCTCACAGATCGGGTTCAAGGTTGAAATTCTGACCGAATTGCCTACTTATCGGTGTGAGTGTGTCTGTGTGCTCTGTGCTTTTTTGTATGTCCCGGCAAGCTCATTAAGCAAATCGCATTATTTGCTCATACGAATTCAAGTATCTTTCCAGTGCACTAAGCACACAGAACGCTCTGACAGCCCCACAAGGAGCTTCATTTGCCGGCAATTGAAAGCCTGAAAAGACACACTGGGGAGGAGCGAGGCTGCACATGGAAAATGAATACATCATTAGCTGCATAAAGTGTCCTTGCTGGCTCAAGCGTACCCATGCACTGAGAACATTTTTCTAGATAAAAAACTTTAAATACTTTGAATTGCCCAAAGAAACATATAGCTTTTAGAACTTAAATATATAATATAAATATTCAGTTTAAGTTATCATAATGATTTTGGTGTATACATATTTGAAAATCTATTTTCGACATTGTGGAAATTGAAGTAAAAGAAAAATTGCTTATATTTTGAGTGGTATTTATATATGTGTTTTTTAAGGAAATAATCATTTTTCTCCGTGTAAATACCCATATACACGTTTATACGAACGTGTACGGTAGCTACAAGTGGACAAAGCCGACTCTAACTGGCTGAAGAAGAGAAAACCCGAAAGCAGGACTAAAACATCAACGCTCCATGGCTACTTAAACGGCTTAGGTTTGAGGACTTATGCAACTTGTTAACTAATTACGTGCACAGCAGCGTAAAGTGGCTTAAAACACACGCACCTTAGCCACTCGAGTATTGAATGAGAGGGATTTTTCATAATGCCCTGACAATATCATTAAATTGGGTTCATAAGACCGTATTGATACATTTATGGAAATGCCTTGTAATCTCTCAAGGATTGCTCAAGCTGAGGATTCTGTTCTTGTGGTGATTCAAGCAATTTTAAGTTAATGGCAATAAGAGTATGAAGCCTTCAGCTTGGGCTTACAGTTTCTATAATGTAGCTTATATAGGGAGTTTGTGTGGATAATAAAATGTCACATACTTATTTTTCAATAAATTTCGTTTTGCATTTTACAATTATTTTTTTATCAAAATGGAAAGTTAATCGGAAATATTATTGGAGTGCTTTTTGTGTCACAATCTACTTATTTATCTTTTGGATTTTTCTGTCATACCTTTACAGCTTTTTTACTAAGCTCTCATCCTCTGCGCGGGAAATCACTGATTTTTTTAATCTACTTTAATTGAATGGTGAAAATATCTAATTTTGTGATGACTGAACGTTGTAGGTTAATTTCCTGTGCGTTTCCTGATTAAATTTCACTGAAGTACTAATTAAATTTGGGTGTTTATTGACAAGAGCATCAACCTATTCATTAATATCATCGGATAGATAATTCCACATTTTTTGAGTCACTGAAAAATGGAATTTAATTAAAGAATTTTATTTAATTTGAATCTCCTCAGACAAGCAACCCAAACATCTTTAAGCATTGGCAAACAAATTTGTCTGGCGAGCAGAATCGAAATGGAAGTAGTCTAAAATAAAAAACTTCGCAGACAATAGAAGGCAAAAACACGGGAAAATAAAGAGAAGGGTTGAAAGGAAGCCAGAAAAAACAGAAAAAGAGTGATGAACCAAACAGCCATTCAATATAATAAATCACACCTTTGTCACACAATGCGAAAACGTATTTTTCCAATTAAAAGCCAAAGAACGTTTCACTGCAAATTACTTTAACCTTTCGTCGGCCATCGGGTTGCCGACATGTAATTAGTTGACAAAGGTGTTCGTGCCAGTTGTTTTTAGCTGGTTTGGGCCGGGCTTAATTGAATTTTTATCTCGGCCAATGCGGCTCCTTTTCACGTGTACCTCAAAAAAAGTGTAGACAGAAGGAATCGCAAATAAAAGAATTAATTTGGAAAAGGTCTGAAAGTCAAAGTCTGTGCAAATCTCTGCAAATTTATAGGGTTAAGGGGACTTTTAAGTTAGGAAAAAAAATACTGTGGTCCCAGCCGATATAACGTGAGTAAAATTAACTCTACGAATATAACAAATAGGAAATTCCCATATATTTTGTAAGCTGTTTATTTAGTTGTTCAGACCAGTGATAATCATAAATTGGTATGTTTATTTCAAAAGCAAGAAGGCCATTTTTAATTGCCGTGAACTTGGCACATCCGAGCCCCGCCCAAATGCGAATATATTTGTCAACAATGTTGATTTTGCGACAAGCTCTTCTTTGTTTCGCGTTTGGAAGCCATGCTCGGTGATTGTTGTTGGTTTTCGCGTTGTCCTGCCACAGAAATGGGCAGGTGGTCGAGGGGGATGGGGAGGTCCTGGGAGTGGCATCAAACCGCAGCAATGTCAACAGCATAAGCCGATTGCGTGGAATTTCGCCATTGTCCCCTTCGATCTTTCCCAGGGGATTGGCTGCTCCGCACAAAGTCAAATGATAAGTCAATTGTTTGGCTTGACGTTCCAGTTGCCACAGCAACCCCGCCTCTACCACTTAGAAAAATGTAGTAGAGGTTTTCTAAATTGGAAGGTTACAAAAAAATGGGGAACTTATAAATTTAAGACCTATTTCTAGGCGTTTCATGACCCAGTGAGATAGAGAATTATAAGAACGATTACTGATATGAATTTTAATCAAACTTAAAAAATTGTAATATTTCAGTTTCGTAAACTAACAGATTCTTACAAATAATTATATACATTTATTCCAATTTATATCCATGTTATATTTTAAGTGTGTAGCCATCCGCAAAAAGGGAGCGGAAAATAAAGCGGGCTAGAACAAATGGAAGCCATTGAAAAAATGCAACTAACTGCAGCTCTGGGTTTGCCTATTATTGGCCGCATTTAGTTTCAATTTGCGGCCAAAACGATCTAATTATTTATTATCCCGGCCCCTGTTTGTTGACCATCCCTTCGAGTCGAGCGCGGTGGCTTTTATGGCCACCAATTGCGCTTAAGTGGGGAAAGCAGCAACTTTACGAGCCTTCCTCCAGTTGCTCCCACTCAAGCCACCTCCGATTCAATTCAAATTGGCACGCAAGCCAACCGAAGTTATGAGTTTGGCCCAGAGAGGGGGACTAGATGGAAGTAGAGTGTGTGTGCCCTATTCCAGGTCCTGCTAGCTTCAGATTTGCTCGGGGGAAGTCTTAAGGAATCGGTACAACAAGTGTGCACTTTGGGGAGAAAAGCGAACAGCGACTTGTGGATACCCTAATATAAAATTCAGTTCTACAAAACTTTAAATAAAAATACCAGAGGATATAATTTTTGGTATTTGATAGTCTTAAGGTCACACTAGGTATTCTTAATATTCTGGATTTATATGAAAGGGCAACTATAAAAAAAGAGAAGATAAAGAGATTGAAAACAAGCGTGTCCTTTGATCTGATCTTATAATTCAATTAATGTTTACATCTCAAAAGACTAAGGATTCCCAAATACCCATCATGATTTTGGGTGGTGTACATATTAAAATGATTCTTAGATCCTAGCACCGCTCAAATTAAAATATAAATATTTTCCTCACCATAAAATATCCAATTTCGAATGATTTTCAACTTCCTGAACCTGAAATTCGTGTATACACCAGCACTTGAACGTCAAACATTTGCAGAACAAACAGTCGCCGTGGGAAATTATTAGAGACAAATAAATTAAATTTTATAGCCTGGGTGCGCTAACACGGAAGGAATGAAGGAAGGAGCAGTCACGACAGGGTCAGAGGGCAGAGGTCGATGGAAGGATGGATCCCAATTTGATTGGCGATTGTTTGGGGGCAATTATAGATTTGGCTCGCTTGTTTTCTGGGGGCTTAGAGTGCTGGAGTGCCGGCCAATGGAGCTCTTATACATATATACGAGCAGTTCTAGCTGGTTATCCCTTGCCCGCCAGGACAATGGCCACTTCAATTTCCTTCAGCTCCATTTATGGCTGAAACATGCAAACTAAAAGTTAAGTTTTGTGCGAACTCCGACCCGAGCGGAATAACAACAAAAGCCGCTCGACTCGATGGCGTTTAACAAAGTTATTGGCTTCCTCTCGCTTCCATCTCCACTCCACTTCCGCATCCCTTCCACTTCCGCATGCCAGCATTCTTGGCCATCATCAACACTCTGTCTGTCCCTGGGTTTCTTGCCACCTTTTGTTTTTTACAAGCACTTTGCAAATATTTATGGCTGAAAGCAGCGTAAACAATAAACTCATAAACTGCAGCGACGACGTCTGCGTCACAGGACACAGAAACTGGACGCAGGACACAGGACACTGGACGCAGGACCCAGCGGGTAAATCGATTTTTAAAATGAATTATGTTTGCAGTTATGCAGTACGTATATATATTTGTAGGTACAACTGAGTACCCGTCCTGGAACGATACGAAACCGGATATTGTACATAACATTTTATATTAAGGACCGATTAAAAGATGTCCTGCAATGTTTCGCTAAAAATGTTCCATACGAATTTATTTTTACAATATGTGTTACGTTTATAACAAGTTAAGAGCTCATTTTATATTTATATTTTTTCACGATAATAAAGGGAAAATAGCCTTCGGTCATTTTAATTTCACAACGGAGGCATATATTACCAAGTAAATTTCATGCAGTTTGTCCAGCACTTTCGTGTCATGTGTCTTTTGTTGACTGGAAACCTCAAAAAAGAATGGTCGATGGCAAAGGACAGGCTCTGCCATTTACAAATTAGCTAAATATTTTGGCACAGACTTCACACCCAACCCACGGCAGTCACATCCTGCTTCTGACCAAACATAACGCATGCATATGCATTCAAAACTCTATTTGCTCAACATTTTGAGTGCAGAAATTGCGCCAGTACTGCCAGTTGTTGTTATGCAAACATTTACCAGGGAAGTGGAATTCAGCTATGGAAATTAGAGTCTACATTGAAATTAGCAGGCGACGCAGCGTAAACTATGTCCCTAAACTTGACGGTAAACATCAGATGAAAGTCGGCGTATCAGTGATAAATATGTACACAAAATTTAGAAAGGCATATGAAAAATGGTGCACAACATTATTAGAAAGCTTGAATAAGTCCAATTTATAAGATATTATCTTTAATATATTATTATATATTTTTAAAACTATAATACTACTTAGTTCGATCATTTTTTGGGCAGAAATTCCATTGTTTCTAAAGCATTTTCGCCAAGGGCCGAACTCATCAATTAGAAATTTCGAATTGACTGTTATCTGATTTTATATTTCTATACGCCTACATACGATGTCTCCGCTTTTTCCGACAATTGTCGACTGCAAACTCTTGTAATCCTAATGAATCCAGCACCTATTTATTTTTCATTGTGGGAAATTGTGCAAATGCCAGGACAACAGTTCGTTTTTGGGGCCTCGAATGCCACGCATACCCGAAGCCACATGGCCTGACCATCATACGAATGCGAGTGTGTTCAATTGTTTAAATGTGCCGTAACAACAGTGCAAAAAAAGCACATACAACTGGAAAGAAATCTGACTAAGTCACAACGAATTTATAATTCTCTCCTTAGCAAACAATATATATTAAGAATTTATAAAAATTTATTACTATATGATGTTATCTTCTATATTTTTGTTGCATTTAGGTACATTAAAGTGTAGGAATCCCAAAAATATATTACGTCAATGTGATAAATTGAATATTACCTTCTTTCTGTGATTCTACATATATTGTACATTAAAACACATCCATGTGATCTATTTATAAAATATAATGCATTTCCTATCCCCCAGATAAACAGATGTATCTTCCCATGTACAAGGGTATTCAAAACAAGACAGATACTGATGTAGATTCACTCCTGGCTGTTGTTTGCATACATCAGTCTGAGCTCGGGGAATAGGATGGGGCGAAGTGTGCAGGGTGGATTGCTGACAGATAGACAGTATTTGCTGCTATTTTGTTACTGCTTGTTACTGTTCCACATGAGGCTTTGTCTCTCATCAGTTTAATTAGTTGGCAATGCTTTTGCTTTGCTTTTTGCCCAACCCCCCAACAGGCATTTCCATGCCACCCTGAAAAACAAAACAAAAGCTTAGCCGGAACAAAAATAATAATTGCTGTGTGCATTTTCTCCATGGCAGTACATAGAAAACTGATGTTCGGGCGATGACATATGTCTGTATTTATTATTATTGATTTAAATATTTTATGGCAAAGACACAATATTTTTTCGGAAAATGTTTTTCTTCTTTGTAGATATTTTGGCTGCCCTGGAGGCAAGAGGCTTATATATTTGTTTATAAGCCAAATAAGAATTATTTTTGCTAAAATGATTTTACTGAATCTTGTACCATACATTAAAAAAGAACATTGGGTATTGCATTGGATATTGAACTGAAAATTGCACTTGACTTGGACCTGGTCTATAATGATTTCTCGAAAACTCCCTTGATTCGTAGTCCGGGTACTCCTGGTTCTCATCCCAGTCCGGATTCCAATGCGAATGCCTCTCCCAGTTATCCCGATAATCCTCGAAAATGGGTTCCGGTTCACGTTGAGGTACGGGTACTACCGGTGGTGATGTAGGTGGTACAGTAGGAGGTCTAGTAGAGGTTGGAAGAGGGGTTGGTGGACTGGTAGTAGTTGTTCTTGTTGGAAGTCTTGTAGGTCTGGTAGGTAGTCTGGTTGGGACTGGTACCTTCTGACCATTGTCAACCTGTCGTCATACTCGGAGTCGACGTGGTTCAGAACACCCGTAAAGACTTTGGCACCTTTGATTCGTATAGCTGGCTATGCCGATCTGTACAAATCGCTTAGTGTTCCCATAGGGAACCAAGGCTCCCAGAGGTCCACCAGACTATGATACTCCCGATATAGAAGTAGCACACTTGTGGAGGCTGCCGCCGAATGTCCAGTGTCCTAAGCTCATCGCTGTCAGGTTCCGACTCGGTCTGCCCCATTCCGTTCCGATTATCATCTGGATGTTGTCTATGTACTGCCTCCATGTAGTATCCTAAACTATGCATGTGGGCCTTATGTTGTCTGCTCAGAGGAAAAATAAAATACACATTTTTTATCGAATTTGAGAAGCTTAGTAATAAGAAGATTTTCCCAAAGTATGTTCCTTACTGTTTAATTAACTTCGAACCTTCCTCTGTACTTTACGGCAGTAGCCAGGCGCAAAACTGCTATATCGTTTAAATGCGTTTTTGGATCGTACAGGCGATGTTTGAAGCCCGCATTCACTTTATGCTCCGCTCGAAAGTGACAGTAATTTCCGATACATCCGTCTTGCTGGCTTCTTTTGTACTCCCCCAGGATAGCATATCTGCAGGGAGGCCAGTAATAACATTTGTATAGCAGTTAGAAGTCACTTACAATGTCTTGTTTGGCTTAAAACAGTGCGCTACAGTTAATACTAGTTCTCCAAGAAATAAAAAAGTACTTGCACTAGATTTTAAAATTAGCCACTTGAGAGTTTTGAGAACATTCTAATTTTAAATACGAACTGTTTGTGATCAAAGTTCCACCGCACATGAATCTGTCGTCAGTTGATTTAAGAAAAGTCGTCCAGAGACTCGAGTTATATTTCGCTATCTTGCCATTAATAACCCGTTTTGATGTTTTTGGTTCAGATCGAGTTCCACAGGATGGATCGAGAAACTGACTTAAACCGGGGAGTGGAAAAACAAATAAGAGAAGTATCACAGTGCGCGCTTTGTTTTCCATCACTGAGATCTTTATTGCGCAAGTGTCAGACGATCAGTCGGGAATCTCTGTTTTAAAACGTCGACAATGCGGCTTATCTATGTTTGATTGAGTGTGTGGTTCCAGGAAATGTTTTTGTGGAAAATTTCTTAGTAAACATCATTCTTGATTGTGAGAAAATCCCGATGCTATTTATTTTTCAATAGAAAATGCTATTTGTTGACTTTTAATGTAATTATTTTTTATCATAAAGAAGAAAACTTATTTTGGGGATGATGAGACTGTTTTTTTAAATAATAATTTTATTAATAAGGAGTGAGCTCTACCAGATGGAAAAATGGAAATACCCGCCAGGAGACCATTGCGTACTCCAATCCCAATGCGTTTCATGGGTATTATCAGAATGATCAGAATCATAATCCTCGAAAGTCTGTTGTGGAACCTGCGTAGTATGCCACCAAGATGGAGCCTGGGTGGTTGTGGGTGTCATTGGGATCGAGAGCCTTTGTCCATTGCCGTACTGCCTCCACACCCGAAGTATAAAGTCGACGTGGCTCAAAATGTCCGTGAAAACGCTTGCCTTCTGACACTTCTTATTCGTATAGCTGGCTATGCCAATCTGAACGAAGCGCTGGGTATTTCTATATGGGACCATTGCTCCAATTGGTCCACCGGAATCCCCGTTGCACAAATTGCTATCCCAGTTTCCAGCGCAGAATTGGTTTCCAGAGATGGTCAGCCCAATGAACTGAGTACAAACCTCTGGTGGCTGGCGGCGGATATCCAGGGTCCTCAAAGCATCACTATCACTTTCTCCCTCCGTCTTGCCCCATCCCGTTCCGGTTAGCAAATCGATGCTGTCGATGTACTTCCTCCATCTAGGGTCCCACACAATGCAAATGGGCCTTATATTATCTAAGAAGAGATTATAATATAATATTTATATCCCTATACCGCAGTACCAACCTCTGTACACCACTCTCTTAGCTAATCGTAGAATGGCAATATCGTTAGCATGAGTATTGGGATTGTATAGACGGTGCTTGAAGCCCGCATCCACCATATGTTCCGCCCGAAAGTTACAGTGATATCCGACACACTCCTCACTTCGTGTTCTTTCATACTCACCCAGACGAGCTACTCTGGGAGAAGAAGAGAAATTATTTAATATTTATTTATTCTCTTTAAAATTGTTTTTATAACTTACAACTGCTGGTTGGCGATGAAGCAATGCGCTGCAGTTAGTACCAGTTCTGTGAAGATAATGAGTTACAATTACTAAACTAGAATTCGCAAAGCAAATAGACTTTAACTAAATTAATATTTAACTATATTGTGTAAAAAACCAAGCTAGAGTCGAGCATATTTTGTTTCAACTGTGTATTGTGAATGGTAAACACGAACTGTTTGTGATCAGAGTTCCACCGCACACAAATAAATCCGTAGTCGAGTGTAGAAAAACCATCCACGGGCTGGAGTTAGATTTTGCAATGTGGCCATTAATGATACGAGTCGCAATCTTCGGTTGAGCTCGGATTCCACAGGCTGCGTCGAGAAACTGACTTGATCCGGGGAGTGGGAGCAGGAGCACCAGAATAAATCCGGAGAATGCTGGAATTCCGATTACTGCGGTCTTCATTGCGCGAATGTCCGCCGATTGATTGAGAATCTCGGTTTTATAATTACAATAATTCTTATCAAGGCATTGATTACGAGTTTTCCGATCAGAAATTCATTATTGAAAAAAAAATAAAAAAAAAAAAAAAGAGTAATGTATACATAATATTTTACAGAATAAAAGCGTATATGATTGCCACTTGAACAATTTCAGACTAACAGCTTATTGATTTTTTTATGTTTCACCTGCATTTTTTCTAAACAATTATAAGCGTTGTCTGCCCAAACACTTTCCCATTTTCGATTTAAAATTGAAATGCATAAAAGGCAAAACAAAAATAAACAAAATAGGAAAATGCTAAAAAAAAACGAAGCGAATGCATTCACAGACAAAAATGTGCATTTAATGGGTTGCAATTTCTAGCTTCGGTTCGAAGCAATTCAGAAATTGGCGCAGATTCGGTTTAACTGCCTCGTTAGTGAAGGCAGCGAAATATCTAGGAAAGAATGCTGAAAACGAAACCGCTCCCCTGCTCAAACACCGCCGCACCATCCGTAGTCATCATCATCATCGGACTACCCATAGATTTATCGTTTTTATTCGCTGGAAATCACATTAGCCGAGCGTAAAACCAAAGGAGCGAATAAAAATGGTTCGGCAACTGAGAAAGGAGAGTTCATGGTGGCACAGCTCAAGCTCAGGTTGAACAAGCCCCAATACAAGATACCTCACAAAAGTGCCAGGCTGGACAGGGTGTTCTTTAGAGATCTAGCTAAAAATATTAAAATATCATATTTGGCGGATCAAACGACAAGATGATATAAACATATATGTTTTAAAGATGTAAATTGTTGGTATAATTTATATTTGTATATAAAATAGTACCCTGTTTACCAGTTAGATGCACTTTGCGTCTGGGTTAAAATCATTTAGAAAGAGGAAAAGGTAGAATCCAATGCAGGGGCGCCAAGTGGGATGAATGTTGGAACATTGGAGTGTTCTTGAGGAGGGGGCGCTTAGCGTAGACAACGTCTAAAATAAAAAGTGTCTGAAATTATAGCTTTCAGGCGGCCCGCTCCCCCTCAGCTGGCGTTCAATTCCATCCAACTGCCGCGAAGAAAGTGCAGACCTCTGTTGACTAAGTGGGGCGAAAATGTGGGTGGCACATGAAATATGAGTTAAGAAAATTGATGACAAACATTTCAACGGTTATTGCATAAAATTACCATAAAATATTGCATGCAAGTAGCTCTTTGTCTCTGTCTCCCTCTTTCTTTTCAGCTAGTTATAAAAATTTTCCCATTGATTTGCAGTGAGGTAAAGGCCAGCATAATTGCAATACGAGATGGGGAAAAGCGGAAAATGGGGCAAGGATTAAAGTTTATTATTTTAACAAGAAAGAGGGCTTTAATCGGAATACTTGGCCTGCATTTATTTATGGAAAAAGTCAGAGCTTTCATTTTGATTGAATTAATTCCGCAAGTAGCGGAGTGAAAGTATTTGTAAAAATTTAATTAAACATACCTCTTAATTGCAGGTATTTGAATTTTCCAGCTACTCAGTTGTATTTCACCCGCCTATATCATCGGCTATTGTTTCGTCCTGGGCATAATTAAAATTTATGAACAGAAGGTTGGGCTGGAATGCACTGTAGCCCCCCTTTTGGGGCTGTGCGCCGGCCATGTCAAATTTATCACTCTACTCCTTCGGTGGCCACTATAAATTGTTGCCTTTTGCCGGTGAAGATGCTGGCTTTGGCATCCTTTTGGCCCTTTCTTCTTTGGGTCCTGGACAGCACCGCAGGCAACATTATTTGACGTAACCAAAGTAATTTTAATTTTCACCGCAGCCCTCGCAAAACATCAGCGACGAGCCGCCCCAGGGGGCGAAGGTAGGAGCCCACCAAGTGGCACTACAATGCACTCCATGGAGTTGGGGCGGTTGTATAGTGGGTTGTGGGGGGCCTGGAAACTGCAAACTGGGGAGTCTGGTTACTTAAGCATATTGCAAATAGACTGCATAATGAGCTGCGCTTTGCTTTTCAAGACACTCAGGTGGAAATCGAGTGAACGAAGGCTAACGAGAAATGGCTGAAAACGCATTGAACCAAAAGATGACTGGGGCTCGTTTATAAAGGCGGGTTTTTTGTGAAAGTGAAGAGATGGAACGAAAATTATAAGAAGCACACTTTCAATATTAATTAAATTAAATCAACCTTATGATCCTGAAATCCACAAGGTAATCCTAATAACTAAGGACAAATCAAAAATAAATGTAAGATATAAATTCAAGAAAGATTTTAAAATTAATCGGAAAAGTCCTTGACAATACCAACAATCCACCAATAAATGATAAGAAATTTATTTAATTTAAATATCACTTACAATACATATTAGTTTTTAATAATTCATTTTTAATCGTTTCCACAAGCTAATATGGAAAACTCTTTAAAAAACTTTCAAAAATACTGCTATATTGTAGATACTAAATAATGTTTTTAAAATCACTTGGAAAAACAGCACAGTCGATTGGTGCGCCCCCGAAAAATAAAGCAAATCACTTCTAGAGATTTTCAACATTCGGTATACACACATTTGCATTGACATAAACTTGCACCGAAATTTGCATAAATTTAGAATGTATTCTGTATTCAGTAACGCCATAATTTAATTTAGTACCGCAATCAAGTGGTTCAAGCCAAAATCGTTTATTTTTTGCGAGAAATGTTTGGAAATTCGAAATGACAGGCGAGGAGGGCAACAAACACACACGTCCGGATGGGATAGTCCTTCAATTTGGGTGATCTGCTCGTAAATTGGTAGCCAAGGCAAACTCTTTCCCTGTATTCAGTCGTAAAGCCAACGTATGCAAATTTCGTATTCACTTTGTCACACATGCACACAAATAGACAAACACACACACATACACACACGCACGCAGGGATGTCCTTTTATTCGCACTCACACTGGCGCACTGGCACATCCTTGTGCATTCATCATCAGCCACATCATCATTTATACATTGTATTTGTCTGCTGTTGTTGCTTTTGTTGCCTCTGACGGTGGTCTGCAGTACATAAAACTGCTGACATTTGTTGTTTCCAATTTGGGGCAGTGCATCCCCCTTTCACCGCCCCTCTCGAGCACAAAAAACTCGAAATTTTCGGTTAGAGCTTAACATTAATTGATTTAGAATTTGTGGAATTGAAATTATGTCGAGTTGACAGTTTGGGGATAAAGTCGCACACAAGCGGTCTGATGAATGTGTTTCATCCAAATGGATAAAGGTTTCGCCGGCGGCATTGAGAATTAATAGGGTGTACGTGGGAAGGTAGCCGGAATCCTTTCTATGGATCCATTTAATAACGCTTTTAACTGTGAGGCCCGCTTAAACAGTAAGTTATAAATGATTTTAAATGGATTTATTTCGATCCCTGCTTACCTAAAATTAAGTTACGTTTATATGACACTGATTTGAGCTAGTATTAGGCGGTATAAGCTTTTGGAAAACAGTGAGGCTTAGTTATTATTTCTGCACTTTAACATAAATTGTTTTTAAGAAACAGATAGATAGATAAAATTAAAAAAATATCTATTTCAATTAATTAAATTTTAAAAGTGATAACTTCAACAGTCTTCTTTATTTTTCCAGCGATTATTGTACCAATCATGAAGGAACTAATAGGGATATTTTCCTACATCATAACTTTCTTATGTTACTTAGGATTGGCACATATTTGGAAACAAGTTTTAAATGGATTTTGTTAAAGTTTTTTTAAAAATGCATAAGTTTCTTGTTTCTAATTATGTTTATCCCTATTGTGATAGTTCGACATAACCTCTGATAAAAGCTTTGAGACCTGTACAAACATTGGAATTAGACCACATTTGTACTACTACTACTTCGTTACCGTGGCAGATCCCCAGGCAATTCCTCAGTCAAAAGGCCACAAGCTGTGCTAATTAGCGCAGACAAAAGCCTCGGAAAACTGAAACAAACGCCGCGGAGGCGAAACAAGGAGTTGCCAAGGCCCGAAGACTGGAGAGCCCAGAACAAGCCGGGGCCGAAAAGAAAGGCCAGAAATATGTGGGCTTTTTTATGGCTACGAGTGTGTGTGGGGCTACGATATGGCTGGAGCAACAGCAAAAGGAAAGCAACAGCGGTAGCAGTAGCAATAATTACAACCGTCGGCACACAAAAGACTTCAACACAAATACACACTGGCAGGCATATGTATGGACAAAAAGTGGAAACATTACGCATACGCCCCGCTGCACGTCTGAACCGCTGCTTCTGCTGCTGCTGCTTCTTCCACGGCGACTGCTCCTGTTGTTGTTGCCCAAACAAAGGCCCCAGCGCACAGAGATAAAGAGAAAGCAAACCCCGTTTCCAACTCGTTTTGGACAATACGTCTGCGAGGAGAAAGCGGAGAAAGCCGGAGAAATGGGCGGGGAGATGCCGCTGCGTGGCACGGATAAAAGCTTATTTACAAAGATTGTGTTAATGCAGCTCGCGGCTATGCAGCACGGACTTTAGTGGCGTCATTTCGGAGTCTCCCTGCGCAGTTTTTCCATTTTCCCTGCTGCAGACACCGACTGCGAGATGGTGGAAAAAATATCCCGATAACAAAGCAACTGGATAAAATATGGACAAAAGCGGGGGTAGGGTTACCCGGCTTCATCCAACGATTTTAACGATCGGAAAGCAATTTATTTATTAAACATCCATTTCATAATTAAAACATAATGGACTTTTATAATTAATATATAGTAGATTCTGATGGAAACTACATTAATATGAATTTATTTATATACATTTCGAGTGTGTACATTATTATTATTTAAGGTTACAGGTATACCCCAAATAAAATAAAAAAAATATATATTTTTACTATCCATTTAAAGAGTCTTAAAAACCAAATTAAAATAATATTTAATGAATTAATATTAAAGTGAAATTTTCTAGTTCTTAACATTTACTATATATTGATATTTTCAAGCCCTCCCCAGATAGTTATCAACTCCCAGCG